CGCAAGGACCCAAGTTCTAATCCCCGGTACCAAAAACAAAACAAAACTTCAAAAACAATCACCACAACTTAAAAACATTTCCTCTATCATTACAAAAAGTCGTGAAAATCTAATTTAAAATTATTTTGAATATCATAATCAAAAACTGTACAATTCAGGGCTGGAGATTTAGCTCAGTGGTTCAGCCACCTGCTTCGCAAGCGCAAGGTCCCAAGTTCGATCCCAGGAAGCAAAATAAAATTTAAAAAATTAAATACTTAATAAAATTTTTTTTTAAAAACTTTACAATTCAACATAAACTTTCATACCTATCATTATACACTCATTTTGTAAAGGTATCTTTATCAGATCTAGATGTCAGTACTTGCCTGCCAGTAGCTTTAACAAAAAGCACTTTCTCCTGTGTATCAAGAAAAACAGAAAATCACATGATTTGAGAAAAAACAGGGTGGGACAAGGGATTTAGTTTAGTGATTCCACCGCCTACCTCACAAGTGCAAGGTCCTGAGTTTGAACCCTGGTACCAAAAAAAGAAAGAAAAAGAAAAAAATGTGGAGGGCCAGGACTTATCTCAGTCCACAAGGACCGGAGTTCGATCACCAAAAACAAACAAACAAACAAAACAACAACAACAAAAAAAGAAAAAACAGGGAATTCCTAGAATGATAGTAAAACTAGTGGTGAATGATGTGTAGAAGATATTCAATTTATCCGTACTCTGGATAAAACAGGCTAAGCAGTACAATCAATCTACAGTATATAAAAAGAAAAAGAAAGATTTTTGTTTCAAATGTGTTAGTATGGCTATCCAGCCTCCATTTAGGGTGTTGATATCCTTGCTTATAATCTTTCACTTGTTGTGGGATTTGGTTTTTTTGGGGTGTGTATGGCTTTTTTAGACAGAGTCTTGCTATGCATTCCAGGCTGGCCTCCAATTCATTGTGAACCTCCAGCCTCGGCCTCCCAAGTGCTGGTATTATAGGCACATGCCACCATGCCCAGCTAATCTTTCACTCAATTATAGACTTGTATTCCTTCTACTTTATACCCCAAACTGCTGTATAATTTAATGCTAGATAAAACATTATTAATACTTTGTTTTAAAATTTTAATATAAAACACATAGGTAAATCTAAGATTATACTGTATAAATCATTCATTGTTCTAATAACAGCATTTTTAAATTACCTACCCCAAGAAAAAATATTCCATCTCTCTCACAATGAACCCAGTAAGAGGGCACATGTGAAATAAGTGTAACCAACAATACAACAGATGAATCTAGTAATTTACCATTGCTAGATTCTGCACATTCTTTTCTTAGCCCCTACACTCCATTTCCTTCTGTTCAGATTCTCACTGAACCCTGTCCAATCTTCCCTTAGAAAGAAATCAATAGGTAGAAAACAGACATTTGACTTAAAATACCATGGTATTAAAAAGTGGTATGTCTTGGCAGGGGATTTAGCTCAGTGGCATGGCACCTGCCTGGCAATCTCAAGATCCCAAATTCCATCCCTGGTACCCCCCCCAAAAAACTCATGTATCTTGAAAAATCTAGGTTTGGTATGGAAAAATAAAAAGCTAGGTGAACAATATAAAAATTAAATGAAAAACAAAAAAGGTACACTATTTGTCTAAAGTATATATAATGTTTAAACATTAGAAGAAACTATTTAAAAAATTTTAAATGGACAAGGGCTACAGATGTAGCTCAGCAGTAGAGCGTTTGTCTAGTATTCACCAGATCCTGAATCAATATGCAGCACTGGAAAAAAAGGTATAAGGAAATATAAAAACAGAAAAGAATCAGTAAATACAAAGATAAAAGGTTAAAACCAAGCTTATGTAAGGACATAAATATTCAGAATTTACAATCTGGTTAAAAGTTAAATCTCATTAAAATGAAAAAAGGGCTTTTACAACCATGAAAAGCAAGAAAAGATATCAACAAAGTAACAAAAATCTCACACTAATTCAGGCATGGTAGCCCATGCCTGTAATCCCAGCACTCAAGAGGCTGAGGCAGCAGAATTGCTGTGAGTTCAAGGCCAACCTGGGCTAAACAGTGAATAAAAAAAATCCTACGCTAAGTTCCTAGATGTTGACATTATAAATTAGTACAATCATCTATAGAACAATATGACAACATATGGCAAAAGATATAAAACATTTTGAGCCCCTTTGAGTTGACAAATCCACTTTAGGAAATAAAATCCAAGAAAGTAAGTTCCCAGGTAGAGGGCCGAAAAAGAACACCTAACTAGGCAAAGACCTTAGTAAAAACGCTACTCAACGGAAGGAAGTTGGGATCAAATTATAACATCTTAAATACAGTTGAACTTTTTCTTACCATTAAAATAATGATAACTATTCAAATTCAAAGGTGTGTAAATATAAAAGTATTAAGTCAGAAAAATATAAAACACAAAATGGATATTGGTTATAATTATGTGAAAAGTTGCCTTTACAACAAAAAGAAAGGAAAAGTATAGTAAACCACCTTTTTTATTTTATGGTGAGAAGACTATTTGTAATTACTTTAATGTTCCATTGAGTTTAAAAAACTATTTTTCCAGCCGGGCATGGTGGCGCTCGCCTGTAATCCGAGCACTCAAGAGGCTGAGGCAGGAGGATTGCTGTGAGTTCAAGACCAGCCTGGACTACACAGTGAGTTCCAGGTCAGCCTCAACTACACAGGGAGACCCTGTCTCAAAAAAAAACAAAAACAAAAACAAAAACAAAAAACAATAACAAAAAAAAACAAACTATTTTTCCTTTAAGTCTCCATTCACAGTTTGCTTAAAAATGGTTCTCCCACATGTACTTATAAGCTGTTAAGAGGAACAAATGGATAAAGCATTTTCAGTATACTTCAGTATGAAAATTTTTATCTTCAAAACCGATTCGTAATTAATTGTTAAGACATAATAGCAGGCACTGTTGTTTTAGCCTTTTAGGAAGCAAACAAGACTAGGGTTCACCAAAAAGTCTGACTACAAATTAAATAAGCTGATAATACAGTTCTTCAAAAATAATTTTATCAGACCAATTACCATTAATGTATAGATAGCCCGGGCTGGGGATTTAGCTCAGTGGTTCCACCCGCTTGCTTGGCAAGCTCACGCAAAGTCCCCAGTTCGATCCACCGTACCCCCGACAAAAAAATAAATAAATAAAAAATAAAGTACAGATAGCCAAGTTTGCCCTTATCAAGTCGATTATACCATTTTTGTGATTTGTAAAAATATAAGAAAACCATCTGATAATTAACACAACCTCAATGTTATACGAAGAGAAATACCAAAATGAACACCAAAGCAACTTAAATACTAGGAGCAAGCAAATTTTAAATCATTTTGTTTATATTTAGTCTACCATAGTCCTCCAACTTTCTTGAACTTTGATTTTCTTCATTTGAACTTTATTTGAAGATAGATGATTTAGATGTAAGTATCGACACTTTCTTCTTTCATTGCCATGTAATTCACTATGTCTGTGACTTAGAGACCCTCCAACCGAAAATAAAAAGGACCTTTTTATCAATGCTAAACAGAAGGTTCATTTATATTATAAATCATATTTTCAAGAGAAACAAGTCAATCAAATGCTTTTGATGTTTTACTAGTTATATTTTTAAATAAGCCCATTGTTTCCTCGTAAAATCGTGTTTATCAATTTTAAAAGGTCATAATCCATAGTTTTTATTTCATTGAATGCATCTTAAGAGATATGATTTACTCATGATTTAATGAGTTATTTTCTAAGATCTGAAATATTAAACGATATTCTTTTATTCGGTACTTCATTATCTAAAACTGGCAAATTTGGAATTCGCTCAATGTTCCTTATTATTTTTAATTGTGTCTTTTTTCCCAGTCTTTGGTCCGTCAAATCCCCTGCTGAGCCCGTTCTCCCCCCCTAAAAAAAAAAAAAAAAAAAAAAAGACCAAGCCTGGCCTCAGTTCCCGTATTCCAAGCCAGGACCAATCAGAAAACAGTTTTCTTCCACTAATCCGGAACTCTAGGCTGTTACCAACGCTGCTATTGGCCAGCGTCAATCCTTGGTACGTGCCCCAAGATAACCCCCAGATTTCTCTCTTTTCCCCCTACAATGGGCCTTCCTCGATGTTTGCATCATACTCATAATCCCCAACACCGCACTTGTGATAATCAACTCACATTCTTCAAAGTTTTAGGGAGGAAACAAGCGAGGCAAAGAGCGGAGGGGGGTACCCTTTCTCCAACTCGCGGGGAGGGGGAAGGGGCAGTCATTCTCCAGCTCGGCACCAAGCTCCGGAGCCTTGTACACCGAGGGCTGGGGGGGAGGGGGGTTTAGAGGTACAAGGTGGGCAGGGAGTAGAGAAAGAGTTGGTTTAAGTTGAAATGAAAACTTTACTCACCAGATCCTCGAAGCTTCTTCGGTGCTCTTTCCCCTCCCAGTCCAAGCGGCGTGGAATCAGCTGGGGGCCCGCAGGAAAAGAAAGGGGGGGGGGTGATGTAGGCAAAGCCTCTGCTCCCATCAATCGGACCTAGTCTGGGTCCAGGTCCTCGACCCTTTGCAGTCTTTATTTTTCTTATCCCAATAGCAATTGACTCATAGCTAAACGAGCTGAAGAGAGGGGGTATCCTTAAAAACCGCCTCCCATAAACATAAAGAGGGGGCGAGTTAAGAGCCTATCGTCATCCACCCCTTTTGAGGGAAGAAACCAGTTCACCCTGGTGACAACAGCTATGGGTGCCCAGATCGAACCACCTTCCCAAACCCTGCCCTCCGCCCTAGACTTGCCCTCCGCTTCCTCCAATCTCACCCCGGTCCTCCCCACCCCTTCCCAAAGGGGCTCCGTACCTGATGCTCCTCGAGCTCCTGCACTAGCACCTGAGCAAAAGGGAAACACGGATATGAAGAGCAACTTCGACCATCAACCCATTCCTCCCTCCCCAATTCGAACCCAGTCGCTGACTGTAGTACTAGTCAAGGCCGGCCTTTCCCTCAACCTCAAAGAACCGGTCACCCCGCTGCCTCTATTTTCCCATTGGGACCATTCCCCAGGACTCCCAGGTCTCTTCCCTCTCACCTGAGCGGATTTGTTGCAGGGTCCGGACTGCAAGAACCTAGCGATCAGGTAATACAGCTCTGAGGAAGAGGAGGGAAATGAGGTTGAGAGGGACGCTAAGAAGAGAAATAGAAGCTTTTTCAAAAGACACTGACAGCCGCGGCACTAAGCCCCCATCCCCATATCCACGGGACACAGCTACCCACCGGCTTCTATCTGGGTAGGTGCCGCCGCCATCCTTTTCCCGAGGGGGGTTAGGGCTGGTCCGGCGG